GTCGACCCTAAAAATACACACCTCGCCTTATCCCACAGAATCCGTCTCCGGTGGTAAGGTCCCAAAAAGTACGGAGCTAACACAAAAATTACCCATAATAAGGTCGTGTGTGACCGACCTCAAGCAGTTGTCCGCTGGGCTCTGCGGTCACGCTCCCAGGTCACTAAGACCACCTCTAATCCAATTTCCTTTTCAGGTACCTCCAGAACAACCCTTCCACGGTGTGGGCAACCGGGAAGTGATAACTACCCTCATACCTCTAACATATATTACCACATACAAGAATTTGAACTGCGTATATCGATAATAGTTGACTTATTCATGTATATATACAAATCTAACGGTAAAAAACTGAAAAATAAAGCTTTTAAAAAGTAGTTTCAATTGCCAACTGGATTTCACTAGAAAACTATAGGAACTCCAGTTTGAAACTCCCCAGTATTGGTCACCAACAACACTTTTGATCATGTAATCTCTAGATCAACATAGCAATAATAGTTTTTTTTAAACTATTTATAGTGTGTTACAGGTTATCGTGAAAAATTCCCGGGTTTGTATTGGTTTGCTTCATGGAATCAAGAATATGTTGCATAATAGCCCGATTTTTCTTACCAGGTCCAATAAATATTGTTCTATTGCAAATTCAGGAAAATTTGCCTCAAATATACTCAAATTGATTAATCCAAAGCTATTTAAAATTTTTCACAGGTTGAAATCATGAGTCGATTGAAGCTAGACCACCATGGAAAACCTGGAAGCACTGGACGGCCGTCTCGTCCCAGTATGGAACTCCTCAGCAGTGTGCATCCACGATCCCGCACCACGCGGGGCTCGAACCCAGGACCTACTGGCTTCGCGCGCAAGCACTTAACCACTAGACCACTGAGCCGGCATCCAACGGTGTTAATGTCTAACTTCAACCAATCCACGAAGTTGCGCCACCGTACACCATTGTCTTCAGTGAGTTGTTATCTCACAACAGACCTGGGTGAACTCCACTGGTAACGGCTTCTCACTAGAACTCCAGTTTTTCCTGAAGTCAGTCACTAGTGAGCAGTTGATTATTATCAGAATGGGTTTTGTGGAGAGTTTTAGAAATTTTCACAGGTTGAAATCATGAGTCTAGCTTCAATCGACTCATGATTTAAACCTGTGAAAATTTCTAAAACTCTCCACAAAACCCATTCTGATACTATTTAAAAAATGTACACGAAGAAAGAGAAACTATCCTATTTTGGTTAATTGACCAAAAACTAATCAATGTTTGATAATATATCAACTTGTCTTTGATGCTAGGTGGTTGGAAGTAGTTGGAAGATAAACCTGTATGACATAGGTTTTATGCTAGTTGGCAGTCATCTTATAAGCTTGCATGTGAATTTGAAAGAACTAACATTCTCCCCAGAATTGAAACGCGAATCACTCAGTTTCACAATCTGATATATTAACACCAAGTTATTCGGGCAAAAACTGACTTAGATATTCTTAGAGCTAGGTGATCATAGTAGTAACAAATATCAGTCCTTAATGTTGATCAGATTCTATAAGTGAAGTTACAATATTGCTACTAACCTAAGTGACTCAACATGATATGCTATATAGTTCGATATGAGTTGGTTGGAGATGGTCGGTAGACTTTCACAATCGTGTGCATTTAATTTCTAGCTATACACTATAATCTATCGAGAACAAAATTGTAAACAATTCAAAAAGTGAATTTGCAACACCAATTGATATACATTGTTATGTATACCTGAATATCGATTACCAGTGTTGGAGAGAGCTAGAATAACGTTATGGGGCAGCCAAACCAAAATGTAGCATCAGTGCTTGAAGTCACTAACTTCTAGTCTTAACCATGTTGGTAGATACAGACTACTTGGTTGGGGTCCGCGTAACTAACGTAACCAATGGTTAGAGATTCTAGGTGATATGGACCAGAATCGATCACAATGGCGTAGGTGTATACATAACTTCGTATACAAATGGTTTGACTAAAAGTCAGTCCTTCAGGGCACACTAACCATCTTAAATAACACCCAGAAATATGTTACTTGTACAGTACACAAAACCTTAAGTTACATTCTTTTAGTATATATATATATACAGAGAGAGAGACAGAAGATAAATACTTGTAGGTGTATCTATGCATGAATTTGAGACAAACATTGTAAAACTTATAAAAGGTAAAATAATTTATATGTGTAAAAGCCAAGAATAAAGTTAAGAATGGGGAAAAAAAGCAAAAGAAAGAACTGACTTCTGTTATTTTTCCATTATTAATAATTTATAGGATCAAAAGAATCTACTTCCATTATATTGATTATATGAATTGTCTATTCATATATATGCAAGAATGTAATATGGGTATGTTGACTTGGTATTTTAAAAAGAAGATTGATTAGTAGTATAATAACAATGAAAGGGATTGTGAATTCAAAATATTTCTGACGTAAAATGATATTGGCAGAGAGAAAAAAAAGAAGAATTACTAAATTCTAGAGTACTTAACAGTTATGATTGTTGTTCAAATGCAAAATATGGTGCATAATTTAAACCTTGTCCTGGATTAGTTAGCAATTATTCTATCCTATCAAAAAGGCTTCTAATGAAAATCAAAAAAAGTAATTTTTTGATTGAGATCATGAACTGATTGATGTTAGACCATTATGGAAAACCTGGAAGCACTGGACGGCCGTTTCGTCCCATTGTGGGACTCCACAGCAGTGCACATCCAAGATCCCACTCTCGAGATTCCAACCCAGAACCTTTAGACTTGCACGCGCACTGAGCTGGCATCCAACAGTGTTAATGTTTAACCTCAACTAATCCACGAAATTGCGCGAACATGTTCCATTGTCTAAGATAGATACCTGTACCAACCTGACATGGATTAACTCCACCGGTCACAGTTTCTCATAAGAACTCCGAAAATCCCCCCACGAAGTTAGTCACCAGTGAGCAGATGATACTTATCAGTATAGGATTGTGGAGATTATTAAGTTTTTAAGTGAGTTTATGAACCGATTGATGTTAAAACACCATAGGATGAAACGGCCGTCCAATGCTTCTAGGTTTTCAATGGCGGTCAAACACCAACCGGTTCATGATCTCAATCAAAAACTCAATAATCTCCACAACCTTATGCTGAAAAAATTATTATCTATATTTTATAACTAATGGATACTGGTTAGTTTCTGAAGATTACTTATTAACACTGAAAGTTTCCGATACAAGATTTGTAAAGTAAAATCTAGGCATTACGGGTAACTTCCAAGTTACCTACAATTTTCCACTGACCAATCAATTGATTTCTAAATCAATTCATGACGTAACAATAATTGATTTTCTGAGTAGAACCAATAGTACAACAATCAGTCGATAAGCTTTTGATAGTAAACTACTGAATAAATTATGTTCGGTAACATGGAAGAAACTAACTACGATAAAAACAAGAACTGATATGGAGTGAATTATTTTAATTTATAGTCCAAGTATTATTACACTTTAAAGAACTGATGACAAATTGGTTGATGAGGTAGTGAGTCTTCATGGATTGAACTGATTAGGACATGTACTGAATATGGCCAACTACCAAATGACTGAAAGGAAGATGTTGTTTAGTGTAGTGATACGTTGGAAGAAAGCTACAGACTGCCAAATCGAGACAACGTATAACTGTATGAAATTTTTAACAATTACACTGGGAGCCTTGTAAACAGGTGCAGACTACCTGGTTTGGGTCTTCACAACAAACGTAACGAATACCTCAAGATGTTTGGTAAAATATTTCAAAATAAGTCTCAATGATGTAGATACATAATCTCTGTTTTTAGGTTCTAAATTTCTAAATTATCTTAGTTTTTTTCATTTCACGAACCAATAGTTTCTTCTATAATCATACATTCCATACTTAATTACTTTTATAACTACTGGTACTGTTACTAATTCTACCACACTGGTATTTGTTTTAATAGTTTCAGCGCACTGTACTAATGTGGTTTAACAACTTGAATTGATGTATACAATGGATATGACTGACTGACTTTAAAAAGTGATCGGTATTTCAGTATAACTAGGAAATTTATTTATTTTAACACATAGATATTGGTACAAGCAGGCAACAAATACATATGCCCCACACAAATCTCATTTGATATGTGTGAGGGATGTGATACTGCCCAGGTGCCCAAACAGAAGCAATTAGTTTTATTAGGGGGCCACATCCGCAGTGGAGCAACGTAAGGAGACGCATTCTCACGGTAGCCGGTGACCAACAATTGGTTCATACGCCATTTGTTCCTTCAAAATACTGGAAACCATGTGCACCATTGGTTTGGAATCAGGGTTTTCCAACTCCCCTAAGTGAACTCTCAATGTCCACCAACCCGGCTAAAGCGCCGGACATTCGCTTTTTGTCCTCTCAATTTTGTAAACAACACGCCTGCCACGAGAAGGCAGTGAGTAAGACTTCCTTGGCAGAGGCTATATACGCGTAGCCATGTGAGAGCATTTTGAGAGGTTGAGCGGACTCTCCCTACTCTCGGCCGTACGAGGGCATCCAGGGGCATAACTTAGGGTTTTATTGAAACCAATTGGGAACAAAAATGGATCAAAACTATAAATCAACACAAATAACATGAGCAGTATTGTCTCATCAATATTATAATGTAGCTCAATAACAGAGGCTATCTGTGTAGGAGGTTATCATAAGCTAGGTTTTACTGACCATGCTTCTTTAAAACCTAGTGCGAAGCTAACCTTATCTGATTTAAAAAGGACAGCGCCTATTTATAACCAACACATCGGTAAATTTTACTGTACATTGTGAATATTTTTATGGGATCAAAATTCATTTGACTTAAAAAATTAACAATAAATTCAGTAGCGTCCTTCTAAACTATTAAAATTCCACACTGAAATGTGGACACAGTCTAAAGGTTACGGCTGTCACACATTTAAAAAAAAATATTATAATATATCACCCAATAGGCGCTTACATGACCACTTCTTCGTAAGTGAATAAGTGACTGTGCATAATCGTTTAATTCATCGCATAAATGGATTATTGCTTTACTATTTGAACTTGTTTGATTTAAATTGGCTAAATTTCTTGCTGAATTCAAAACTTGATTCAGTGCTTTCTCACCAGCTGTCATTGCAACGGAACACTAACAGATAAGAAAATAAACAAGAGATTTAAAAAAGAATGAGACTGAACAACATATACACAGAGAAAGAGAGTTCTTATTCGCCTACATTATTCTGTGAAGCTATTGGTGTGATAAATTCATCCTTAGGTCACACTACCTTAAAATTAGCTGCTCCAATTTTTATGTACCCATCTCAATCGAAAACTAAATACAGATACACTGGTTAAATAAAAGACGTGCTGCCTACAATTCTTTGTAGGATTAATATACAACTTTAATTTATTTAAATGACTTTCCAACCATGTTTTTCTTAAAGATTTTCCTTGGTGATTTTAGGATACTCAAAACCAAACTGATATCCAAAGGTCGTTAGATAAGTCGTGTGACGATTATACATCGGGTTGGACAGTGTAATTATCAGAAATTGTAGCAATTTCTCAAAAATCAAGCAAACATGTTAGTCTAATCATGTTAACGACTTCATTTGCTTGGCTTTGGTCGCCTAGTCAAACGGCTAACAAGTAGCTTAGATTGTAAGCAACTGCTAGTTAAGATGGTTCTGTATTACGTAAAGAAAAATAACATTTCTTGTCTATAAAACAAGAACGTTTTCGACAGGATGCGAAAAACAATTAATTAATAATATAACATTCCATGTACGGACCTCTCTAATTTGTTAGAGATAATAATTCAAACAGCCTCTCTAAAACTTAATAGGTCAAAAGATTTAAAATCTGTTAACAGATGCTCTTTAAACCGGGCTGTAAAATTTCAGGTTTCGAGTACTTTATTCACGTACAGAATATCAGTGGCTTGGACAAAAGATAGAAAACCACCTAAATCAATAATCTAAAAGTCACTGGTAACGAGTAATTTAATATTCTTATTTAATTTTACCCAAACAAATATCAATTATTAAACTGAGCTTAATCAAAGGGATTTACAGTCCGAAACAATTAGACATTCTGCTCTTTAAAGAAGAGGGGTGAGGTAGTTAAGTATGGTAAATGATAAAGGTATTCAACGAGTAAAAATCAGTTTCGTTTATCCGTTCGTTTTAAAATTATTCAACTGTTTAACTTCGTTTTCCCATGTGATGATTTTAACGTCAGAACCATCTGGACATCCTAGAATGATTGTGAAGCATAGAACAGAATATTTAAGAGCGGTGACAAAGTCGTTCAGGCACGCGAACCTGCTTCAGTTTGGGCGTTCGGGTAGTATTCCAGTCCTTACAAATATCGAATAATTCGCGGCGCGTATATATTTGGTGCCTTCTTGTACCAATGTTCATGTGTTTAAATCGATATATAAATATGCGAAATCCGAAAGCTAAGTTGTAGATCTAAATGTTACATCAACATGGGTTTTGGCAGCTGAATAGTATCTTCAGCCGTCGTACACAAGAATGTGACGCGAAGTCCAGTGCATAAACCCTATGCTTGATAAGCAGCAAGAACAAACGATTTGGTAGGTCTTGATATCAGAAAATTGTAATTGTTCGCTTATTTTCTCTCTCTAGTTTCTTGATTTGCAGTTTCCACATTGGATTAAAGTAAACCAAAATAATACTGAATTATATTAAGGTGTATTATCTAGCATCTACTATCAACCTGTCTCAACAAGAAGTACTACTAATGCAAAAGCTGAGTTACAGAAGGATAACATTTCAAAAGTGAAAAATACCCAGTAGTATAAAGCTATTTTTGTAAAGACCGAGCAATAAAATACAGTAATGCACCAAGCTGTATAATTCCGACTACTAAGTGTGCTACACAAAAGTAGGTAGGAAATTGAGTGACTTTCATCAACTGAAACATATCTGTATAACTTATAAAACTTATTTCCTAAACTATTAAACTGGAATTATGCATCACAGCTCGAATTTTCAAAAGTACTAATATATATTAACTATTACCAAAAAAATATTCTACAAGTATCTTATATCACGTCGATAAACAAAAAAATACGAACAACTTACATTCGAATCAGAAATCCAGTCACTGACAAACTGTAGACGGCTATCAAAAGCTGCTTTATTCATATGCATAGCCGCTAAGTCATCATCGAATAACTCTGATGAATCCGTTTCGGTAAGCTGTAAGCCACGTATAATTTCATGTATTTCACTGGACATTTCAGACAACAAGAAGTCTCGGTTTGCTTGACTTTCAGCAGCTCCAGGTAGATCTGAATAAAACATGTGTAACTAGCTTAAACATTGCACACGACGGCATATTGGGCGCGAAATAGATAAAATATGAAATAACTAACAGTGAACTCGATAAAGAGTAAGTTGTGAGAATCTGACTGTGACCATTTAAAACACGAATTAAATTTACAACCAATATGCTACATATCACCATAGGATATATTCTTACTAAATATTTGATAGGGGTTTAATAAGAAATACTCTTAACATATCCGAAGATTAACAGTTATGCAAAGATTATTTAACCATCAAGATGCAAACACAAACTAAATCCGAGCTCATGTGAACATAAGCAATTCAAATAGGCATTATTCATAAACTATGTGGAACACATGTTCATTGACCACTAATTTTTAGTGATCTATATGAACGTAATCATGGTTAAAGTAGCTACATATATAACCAGACCTAATCGACAATGGATAACAGGATAGTACATTCACAAATTTCACTTCTACAAAGGACCTTACAACTTCAGAAGAATTGAAAAACATTTTGAGATATTTAACTTACGATTTTGATGTGTATTTACGTGGAGTTTCAAAGACGATATTAAAATAGGCGTAAGACGTTTCACTTGTTCTATACCCCTAAGAAGCAGGGCAGAGTGAGACTGAATAGTCAATTCTTCCTGTCGATTGTCTACTTCTTTAATCATATCCGCCATACAAGGGGTTAGTCGCTGTACAACATTCAAGATTTAACAAGTAATTACCTTAACAAAATCAGCCAAACCAGTGAGACTCGAAACATGTTCCGCAGTGGCTAGGACACTAAGTACTCGTCTGCAGTGTCTGATAATTTTTCGTACTTCAGACATATCAAAGGTAAGAAGCACAGATGATGTTCCCTGTAGTATACCTGAAGAAAATATAAACAAAATATATTACCTCTAGATCCTTCTATCAGTTTTCTTCGTGCTTCTGAAGAGTTCGGGTCGTTTTGCAACAGTACGACAGCATCCTGAAGATAAAAAGATGCATCTTCAACACGCTTGAGTGAAGGCGGCATATCTCTCTGTAGCAGCTGGTCGTCACTAGCCTCGATTGTTTGGTGACCAACCTTTTGTAATAGTTAAAATAAGTTTATGCTAACCTTTATAAGGTTCTCAACTGCAAGTTTTACAACATTTACGCGAAATTCCAGATCAGGAATCTCTGTACCTGATCCAGCATCCTCAAACAGCAATATTAGCTTTAAAACCTTTCAAATCGTGTGACTAAGCTAACGCGAAAATACCTGTTGAGCAACTGGGCTGAGGATACGTTCTATTGATTTCGTATGAAACGACATCACGAAAACAAGGTAACGTTTACATCTAAATGAAGCGAACTCCGAACGTTCAATCGTTGAACGCTAGAAAAAAACATCACTTGGAGTTTGAAGATAATGTGTGGTAGTCAGAGTTACTGAATTGACTAGTCCCATTTTAAAAGTTCCATTTGCGTTTTAGGCAGCAAGTATGTCTTGTTATCATAAACATTAACACAAAGCCATAAGGTCTATAGTGCGGCTTCAAATATCTATTGAGATGATCATTTTTGGTTCCAGTTTAGAAATGACAGGAAGCTATGTGATCTACGTTAGTTCTCGCATTATGGTCTCTCAGTTGATCCAGCGTTTTGAGAGAGTCGACAGAAGGAGCTTCAAACACGTGTTGAGGTGAATAATTCGACTTGTCGATGATTCGATGGGAATGTCGATTTTCAGCTGACAAGCAGTTTGTTCTAGGCTTGTGAACCTTTTGAGAGTACCCTCGCAATTCCTCCGTTTCAAACTACAAGAAAAATGAGGGCATATTGGATGCACGTTTATACGAAATAATTTGGAAACTGTAATCAAGTCACCTCTAGATCTTCGATATTACAACAGGAATAAGTTCAGTTTACCCAATCGAACATCATAAGAAAGCTCTGCTTTTCCAAAAATCATCTTGTTTTCTGTTTTCTGAACCTTTTACAAAGGCTCACTGTTCATTTTGTAAGTAGAGGGTAGCCGCTTGTATGCAGTAATCAATTTTAGAACTCACGAATACGGTAAGCAATGTCAGTAAAAAGTTGTAGCGGCGAAATGGATAAAAGCCCTATATAGTGACCATGGTGTCATAAAACCCTTGATGGTTGTTTTACTGCAGTGCGTGGTAGTTTTTAAGCCTTCGATAACGATGACTTTCATGTCCTTGGGTTTCTGGACAACAGGTAGCTTAATGTTATTCATCATGTATATATCTCTACATTGATGACCAATATGCATCACAATGAATTCGGAAGTATTATCCAGCAACTGCCAAGCTTGAGACAATTCAGATAATTTCTCCAGGTCATTTTGAAGCTTAATTCATTTTTGGTTTGAGCTTCTAAATCTGTAAATTCCATTTTTATCAACGACAATTAAACTGTGATTGGGTGGAATCTGTGATTATATTTCAATCATGCTTAAGTATGGATACGTTTTTCTAAATAATAAGTACAGGGGTAATAATCATTTATTTTATGACTTTCCCCCAAATTGACATATAAATCATTCACTTCACTAATAAGACCATACTAGAAATACCTGTATATCAGGCTGGACAAGTTTGGATGGTCATTCATTATGTTGTTAGTACTAATAGATTCATTCGATAGCTCTGGCCTTTTGTTACTGAAGATACGCAACTAAATCGTTTCAGTTATCCCCGTAGTGGGTTATTACTGACAGTTGTATAATATATGGGCAAAAATTTTATGCTGGTTTCAATCTAGTTCAACAGTTTGGTCTGCCTTTACAACGGTGAATCATACGTTCACAAGGCTATCAGAACTGGTTTCCTGTCAACAAAGTTTGTCAGTATCGTTCATATTTATGATTGACATTAGTAACTTGAGTTCGAAAATCATCATTTTCGTAAATTATCGCTTTTAAACGTCTGTACTGATTATTAAACAATCATGAGTTTTCGCCAAACTATTGGTTTAGTTATTGCATAGTATCATTTAATAGCGGCTTCGTGAATTCGAAGGTAGGACAAAATTACCTTACATATCCAGCTCAGTATGACTTAATTTTCAAATAAGTCATCTGGCTTTCTACCCATCATCTTACCTAGCAAAATCAAATTTAAATCATTATCATGCCGTCTGCACTCTGCGTCAGATGTAACATTTGAACCGAGATTATAGCTGAGTTCAGCAATGTTGTTATGGTGTGAAAGACATGGAATCAGCGTGTTGGACGATGCTGTAGATGTGTTCTAGTTTTCACCATCCAGATCCACTGAGGCACTATAATTGTTCTGATTTGTTGAAATTTTTTCTCCATTCCATCACCAGCGCTAATTAATAAGTACGTGTTCTGTACTAACTGCCCATTACTTTGACTTCACCATTGAGAACAGACTTATTATCATTATCATTATTATTATTATTATTCACAAACATCTTATGGGTTTATAAGTGCTGTGAAGAAACCATTTCTGGTGTCTTCAAAAAATGCAATAATTCACAATTTTCATTAATGTTGGCATTATACTTGCCATATTTAAAAAATATAGAGTAAAAAAAGAATATTAATAATAATAAATCGGGTCTGTGTAATTGAGAAGATTAGTGAACTGGGATTGAAGAAAGCAATGGAGGAAATAAGGGAAAAGAAATAAAGGAGACGTGAAATACGCAAATAGTTTAATAGGCATGTTTATGAACACAGAACAAAAATAAACGACCATGTACATATCGTCAAATTAGTAACAAAAAGTAATTAAGAAAAAATAACTTATTATCGCAGTAAGATATGACGCTAGAATAAATGTTTGTGCAGTTATAGTTTAGAGTGATGCTATGAAAGTCTCAACTGAATGAAAAGGATAACGAAATATCAATATGTATGAGTCATATATGCATAGTGAAGATAAAGCGGGTCTGAGAAGTTAATTTAAGTGTAACACTAGTTATGGTCTTAATTACAAACGTCGTAATTTTAAGAAGAATATTTGTTTAAAAGGAAAAAGAAGAGAGAAAAGAAGTGGACACCTGATGAAAAGGTTCATCCATGATAAGAATAATAATTGTGTAATGAATATCGACCTCAGAAGTAAACCAGCAATTAAGAAAAATGAAATAAAAATCCTTTAGTGCACTCGGATGAATACATTTAGATATATGTAATAGTATGCAGAGTGAAACCGGGTATTAGTATAAATATTTGTGCAATAATAATTAGGAATGATGCTATGAAAGTCACAATTGATTTCAAAAGACAATCTGGGGTTAAATATGTTTAGAAGGATAAAAAATAAAAAGAATATCCCCTTCTTGCTCCTCCCCCAATGACTGGAATGAAATGCCCGTTTTGCACATGCAACATTTTTCTTGTTGACACAATGTTGCATTTGGAATATCGATGTCCTCCTAGAGAATAAAATACAATGTGATCAAATATCTCCAATCGCCGAACTATAATTAGTGAACAAACAGTGATACGGAAATCCTTTATTTCAACTATTACAGTAATTCCATCCACTTATACATCAATACTGGTATAATGACAATTACAAATTTCTAAAACAGCATTAATAACACCGAATTTCTCCCTGATTTTGTCAAATATTCTCACTGACTGGAATTCAAACGCGAACCGAGACACGATAAAACTAAGATCAAGCCAGAGGACGGAATGTTAGTGTGACCAGACACGGTCTATGATTTTAACGCCTTACGTCCCCTGACACCTACTATAAGCAATCGATTGTTTATCAATCAAAAACATAAAACATTCAAAATGGGTACTTGCAACTAATAAAATCATAGATAGCATTTTTAAAAAATTCGATTAATGACGTTCACACTGAAAAATACAGTGCAATAATTTCAATCTTATCTATAATAAACTCACTGCTTAGTAACGATTATATGGCAAGGATTTTGGCCTAGAGCACCACGAAACCATTACTTTACGACGATAAACCTCGAAGATCCAATTACAGCAAGATAAATTACTCGAATCTGGCGGGTGATTTACATATTTCATGGTGCACAGGTGTCTGCAAAACTATCAATGGGTGTGGACTTGATGATTTGACGAGATAATATAGCATTGTTTTGGCGAACTTTTGATGTAGTAATTCTTTACGAATCTTGCACAATGTTACATTTTCAAGTTTCGAGAGTTCAATATTTTCTTGCTTCAATTAAGTGTAAACTGTTCTATATGAGAAAAGTAGATTTTCATTTAGTGTGACAGTTTTGTTCTCTGTGACAATTCAGGTGAACTGCATTTAATATGTATGTTTTCACAGTCATCGTACGTAATCCCACCTCAATTTGGTACTATGAAGCTTGAGCGAAACTGGGAATTGTTGTTGTTCTTATTTACAGTCTAAGTAGTAACATCGAGTAGTCACAGCTCTTCTGATATCCGAGAAAAAGCAGTAAGACTGTTGATTTCACATCACACTGACGATCTCCTTAGATATAATAACTGTCTATCCATCTACAACATTGGCATGAGATCCAAATTTATCAGCTTCGATATCAATATATTCAACCACCACTTTGACTCGTACAGTATTCCGAACGATTTACCTATAACGATCAGTAACCTTAGCGTTACGTCCTTGATATGTCTACCCACTCCTGGTGCTGAGGATACTTATCTAATCCAGATAAAGACTTTGACGCGATAGGCTGACCGACGTAGCCTTGAGGCTAGTATGCATGAGTTCGAAGTGAGGCAGAGAGAAGAAAACTATTCTATCATCTGATTGGCTGACGAGCGTGCGAATGAGAGAAGACAAGACAACTGGTAAACTACTCGATCTATCCCCGATTATTGTAAAAAGGTACATGAATAAATAGGTGACTAACCTGGCCATAACGTACAACAATTATTAGAAATACAATCATGTCCAAAGCCGAGAATCAGAGTTGAATATGAAGTACAAAATATTATGTTTAAATCACAATGGCTTCGGAACAGAAAAGGGCATGGCAATGAATCATACATAGAACGAAAGCTTATGTTCTGTAGAATACATTAGGGACAAAAATAAATGTCAGTGTTTTACAAGCTCTTCACACAGTGAAATAACGTCCCGAAAAATGGCTTTCGTAGTTTGCCAGGGCTTCTTGTTTCCTTGTTCATATCACTTAGTAAGAAAAACCCCAGAATGCGACAAACTGTAGGATGACGTCATACAATCAGCATAATTGAAACTGACGATCGGCCTCGTTAGTATTATCCGAATATGACCCAAGATAACAATGGAAGATAGATCTAACCTTCAGATGTGGAATAGTCCATGGTTTGTGGTTAGTCCTATCCAGAGAACCACAGTGACATCCGAAATGTGT